TTGAAAGAAGTTGGCAATTATTCATTGGCTACTACAAAGGCACTTTGGGCGCGCGCGGTTACAGTTTCAAACTGATTGGACGGTTAGAGATGCTGTCCCATTTATGGACAGGACTGCCCTCATTGGCGGCTGGGGTGGTCTGCTTTTTCGTCACCAAGTGGAGTGAGGGTTGTGACTGCTGAAACTATCTCCGGAATGCGGCTGGACAAGGACTAACATATCAAGGTGGAGGATATACAAAATGGCGAAACCTCAGCTAAGCTTGGTTCCACAGAAAATATTAAACTGGGAGGCTTATGAACCAGGAATTTGAACTATGAACAAGTATTTGAAAATATAGACTCAAATTGCAATTTTAATATAACAAAATGTCCCCCTCACCCAATGGGAAAAAAAAACTTTCTAAGGTCATAGAAATACTCCCACTTAACCAATGTCAGAGGAATTAGAGCCCCACAAAGTTAGGGACTAAATCTGTCCTGTTTACTGTTGTATCCCAAGCATCCAACATAAAGGACGGTACATAGTAGGTGTTCAACAAAACTGCCAAATGAGTAAGTGAAGACCCCAAAATGATTAAAACTAAAAATTCCAACTGTGTGATCAAATCTGTAAAAAGGACAATGGTAAGCTGAATCTGGACAAGCTGTCATCTAAAACATCCTGTCAAAACAGCTTAATCAAAGTGTTGGGTTGATACACCCCATGTCTAGAAAGTTGTAAAACAGCAGGAGAAGGTCCAGAGCAAAGCCTGACTTGCTGCAGATGATAGAGAGCGACAGCCGGACTTACTGTTTGCATTCCTGTCTCTGCCTTTTGGTGAGTAGTTTCCGTTCCAGCGAAATCTTCTCATTTTTAATTTACTCAGATACTTATGTGTCTAATGATTTAACATCATATCACACCAGTCTGGCCTTCAGAATGACCTTGACATGCGTTTTTCTGGTTACCCTTTGCACACGTTTTACACAAACCAGCCAAAAATCATTCATCACGGCATGAGTCTCTCAGGTGAGAATTGTGGCTTCCCTTCTCTCTTCAGAAACAGCGTTCTTCAGAGGAACCCATTAAAAAACAGTTCCCTGGCCACCTCCCCAGTACTTACATCTTCTGTAAGTTCGTCCAGACACAGAGTGCATCATTGGGCCAGGACTGCCAGTCATTCCGGTACTTCATGGCAATCATTTATAGGCATTTGGTGTTCTGTCTGACATCTGTTTGATGCCAGAGCTCCAGCCTTTGTCTCAATGAATCACTTGTCAGCAAAGGTTGTGTCATTCTAGCTGCTTTCACACCTTTATGAAGGGTTGCCTGTGATGTAAGTGATCTTAGACTCTGAAGCAAGCAGCTCTCTGACTTCCTCATAGCCCATGAGGAAGCAGAGAAATGGGGGTGACCTGGGAACCTCATGCTCATTCAAGGCGTATTTTTGCTGCCATGAGCAGGAACCAGGCCTCTCTGGGGACAACAGTGCCCATTCATGTCCATGAGTGCAATGCTGCTGCTCGAAAGAACGAGGCTGAAGTAGCTGGTGAGAATATTTTGAGAGTGTCAGAATAACAGGGAGAGATTTTTGAACAAAAGGGGCAAAAGGAATTCATCATTCTTTCCTAGTTTGCAGACCATTTTTAACAATGCAATTTCATGGCTGTACACAAATTGGTCCGACTTGTGGAAATGTCAACTAGAGCAGTGGCGGGGGGGGGGGGTGTCAAGAGTCAGACGGGGTTACAAACTTGGCTGAGCTTAGCAAGGAATGAAATCAAGGACTCCCTTTCCTTATTCTCCAAACAAGGTACCAGTGACCTCATACCGTCTGTATGGTAAGTGAAGTTGTTTTAAACCACAAAGCCAGCACTGTTTCTTGTAAAAAGTGATTGTTCATATAGAGTGTTCCATGCAAACTGCCATGTGATCAGAGGATTTGAGCAGAGCATGAGAGTGCGGTAGACTGAGCATAAGAACACCGTAGGTGGTCTTTCTAAACCAGGGCCCTGTGAATAGAGCGTGTCTCACTGAGCAGAGATGGAATGCAAGATGAGAATATAGGGAAAATCTGATAGAAAAATCATATACTTTTTTTTTTACTTTGTTCTGTTTTGTGATGCAAGGGAGAGATGCTAGGTTGAAGAGACTCTTGGTGCCTTTAAAATTCTTTGCATTTAAATTCTTTGCATCACAGAAAGTCGCTTTATTAAGAGGTTGTCACGACAGATGAACTCCTATGATGGGAAGTGAGACTTCGCAGCTCTGATGAAACAGTAGGTGAAGAGTTCTTCATTTAGGTTTGGACTCAAAGAGAATGGGAAAGAGGAGGGAAACTGACAGCCCATGGGAGGCTTCTGAGTCTTACAAGGGATCCTTTTCATGTTTCTAAATCAGTATGAGGGGGGTGGAGTGGGGTGTCAAAACCTGGGCTCATCAGTCACTTCATGTGTCTCAGTTGGAAAACATTTAACCCTGAGATGCTAATCATTTAATCGTGCTGACTCCAGGTGACCAAAAGTTGAGAACCCTTGGGAGCCAGGAATTCCCAACACGATGTGATAATGCGTTTCACAGCATGAACTTCAGATCTCTAGGATCCAGGCTAGAGGCAAGGAGAAGGCAGGGAATCTATAGTCTCCTGAAGTGTCTGCATAACAAAGACAGAACCTTCCTTCCAAACACATTGAAAATGACGGATCCCAAAGGGCCACTCCTACTTCCCCGCCCCCTCCACATATCACTTCCTTTCTGTTTGCACCATTAGGTCAGGAGGTTAATGAAAATGCACTCTAAAATTATAAAGAGGATGAAGCCAGGCATGAATATTAGATTTCCACTCAAGTCTGAATATTCCATCTGGACATTAAGAAAAACCCCATTTGTATTAAAATTTTACAGTTCTGTCCACGTTTGCTTGGATAGGTCGAAGATGCTTAGGAATTTGATAACTGCTAATTGCCTACTGTGGAAACAAGACTAGGAACACAGGTTGGATCCCGGCTTAGAAGTGAAGTGTTGCAAACTTTCTGTGTAGTCAAATAGTGAGTGTCAGGACAATATTGCTATTTGGGACTAAATAAAAGCAGGGAACTGATATTTTCAACTCCTCTGTATGTCTTTTTCCCCTCTCCTTTCTCCCTCTTCTTCTGTCCATCTACATCCTTATTTTTCCTTTCTCACTTTTTCTCTTTTATCAAATGCTCTTATCCTGTAAATACACAATGTTTCCTCTTGAGTCACTTAAGAAATATTTACTTATTTCCTAAGGGCATCAGTCACCACTGCAGGAAATAGTTCATTGCATCAAACTGAGCCACTCTTGGAAAGTTGATTTTCCAGCGAATCCTGCAACATGACACTTTGATGGAAGGATGACACTCACACAGCGGGTGATTCTGCGCAGACGTGCTGACGGAGTAGCTCCAGTGGAAGTAAGTTGCCACTGAAGGCAAACCAACTGGAAAAGACACTTGCTTTTTCCCCCCTCTTTTGTCTCATAAGGTTTTCACAATGACTTCAAAGGAAATGTGAATTAGTCATTTGTTTTGACCCAAGAGCAGCAAAACTTATTCTGAAGACTTAAACAGGCAACACAAATGTAAACAGAAATCTGGGATTCCCAAATGCTGAAGCCGAAAGGAGTCAGTCTGAAAACATCAATTCTATTCAGTGTTTATTTTCATTTGAAGATAGTGGAAATCATATATAAATCACAGACAATACGAGTTCTTGCCTGGGCAACTGTCCACATGAATCTGTTAACCTCTAAGTATAGATACAATAATTTTTTTTTTTTTTAGTAGAAAGACAGGGCAATATGGCAGTTAACTAGCAACTGATACTGTAAACTATAGTAGATACAAAGTTTTGTCATATAAATTAATTGCCATTACAAAAAGGCAACTGCTTTAGCCAAGAAGGTACAAAAAACTGGAACTTCCATAAATATAACAAGAAGCTAAGTGAAGAAATACATAACAGACTGTTTTTCCTATATAATCTTTGAATATGCAAACTAAGACACCTGTGGCACTTTACGTGAAAGTAGGAATAGGACACACACGACATACACGCACACCCACCACCCACCACCCACCCATACGTGCCCGTCCAAGCCCCCTCCCCTCCCCCTAAGTGGGTTTCCAAAACACGGCGAATTCTAGGGTTACAAGGACAGGATGCCGCTCGGAAGCAGCAAGACTGCGAGCTCCGAACTGCTAGACAAAGAAGGAGCCTTATTGACAGTTGTAAAGCATTAGGCGTCAGACAGAAACTTGTCAAAAACAGCTGTTGTTGGGTACTGATTGATAATGTTTTCATTCTGACGGCTGAGACACTGCAGACAGTCGTGGGTCTGAGAAGAAGCCCATCACTGGAGCAGACACGAACACACACAGACAACGGCAAGTCATTTAACAGATGGCTTAGGAGCGCTCAGCCCCAGTGTCTTAAAAAGACAACATTCTACATTCAATGAACTTGCAGGGAAAGCAATGCCTAATAATCGTTTATTTGTCATAGAAGATGAGCACAACAGGACAAAACGAAGGGGGGGTGGTCGTCGTGTAACTGGTCATCGGAATAGAAGTTTGTGCTGCTCACGTATTATACAGTAAAAATATTCAGGGACGCTGTAGACAAAATTGAATATGAATCTTTTTTAATTCACTCCATTAAAAAAAAAAGCTTGAAGAACTGTTCGATGTTTCAAAGGTAATGATTTCATTAAAATCCACCTACAAGATGAAACCACAAAAACTGTATTTGAATGACGTGTATCTTCTGGAGAATTACAAGGTATTACATCACCCTGTAATACAGTGTGAGTCTGTGTGTTTGGGTATCAGTCTATGTTACCTAAAAATTATAAACATGTTTTTATTGCTCAGGTATAGGGAGCAGTTTTCTATCATTTGACCACTTAGCATTTTAAGTGGTTAAAAATCTACAAAGTGTGCCAAAGAGTATTTCATCCATAAACCTCAATATCCATAGGTTATTCCTGATTTAGCAAAAGGTCAAAGGCACCAAGCCTTAGTAAAACTATACACTTATCTTTATGTAATTTTACCATTAAATTAAATGAAAAAAGTTCCAAAGACTGAATCCGGGCCCTAAAATTATTTATTTGCTGCTGCCCCAGCACATTTTTAAGGGCATGTTGAAACCCCTGAAAATAGAGGTTTATAATAGAAATACTGATAGACCTTTAATTACCAGATGGAGACATTAACCGACTCCATTAAACACCATTAGCACTTAATGAATGAATATACAGATGATTCTTTGTTATCTTTGTCAAATCCATGCCAGCTTAAATCCTAGCCTGTATAAACTGTACTTCATTTGACTGTATTTAAAAATTGCATTTATTATTTTAAAAATTCTTTTCTCTATTTCAATCAGACTCCTAAGATTTTTTAGAAAAAGATACTTATATTATGTTGCAGCTGACTTTATGCAGGATAACCTCTCCATTAGAAAAATATTTAAGGACTTGACGAACTAGTAATTGGTGGTCATACATCGTGCCTGAATTCCCTTAACTCCTCTCAAACACTTAAACAATGTCGTTGCTCTCAGAAGAGAGAGGGGAATAGGATGTAATTGAGAAAACATGATGCATCTTGCCTTTATGTTCCCAAAGTACATTTATTATGGCAAGATATTCATTTTGATAAGGTGAAGAATTGAAGTTTTTGGTGCTCATTTTTCTCTCATAATATATAAGGCCAGTATACAAAAAATGAAAAAGATAAAGTAAAACCGCCAAGAGGTCCTGAAAATAAAACGTGTATGAGGATTCCCAGTCATACAATACTCCACCTCCAAACCCAGGGAAAATGAGTCAAGGATCTGTGAGTCTCCCTGAGTCCTTCATAAGGGATCTGATTTCCAACCATTTCAGCACAGGATTGAGAAGAGACGCATAGAACAACAGAAGGAAGAGACATGCCATGAAGATAATTAGTGGTAAACAGAGAATACATATTCTCTCTCAGTAGTGTATACTTGACATTAATGCCGATGATAATTCACCTGATTTACAGAATATTCACTTTAATAGAGAGATGAGAGACTGAGATAGAGGAAAATAGATACTGAAGCCATTATAATCTTGATACAAAATAAAATTAAAATGAGAAATTAACATGATAGGTTCAAGGCGTATTTGGAACCCGTTTTCTTTGCCAGATTTCACATTCTTACAGCTTCGTGGTCTTTTTCTTCTAACAAGTTTATCAGCTGAGAGAAGCTGTCTTTCAGCGCATCCATGTCGTCCAGCGAGCAGGGCTGCAGAATCCAGCGTTTTCCACGTGCAAGTGGCTCAAGTTCAAAATATTTTTTGACCTTGTGGGGAGGGAGATAAATACGCCATTAATTACATCAGAAAACTCCTCACACCAAAATTTTGAGAGCTCAGATGAAGAAGGGGACTTTCAAGGAGAATGTATATGACTGCGATGTCTAGGACTTTCTAGAATCCCATCCACAGCTGTTATTATAATGTGGGTTATATGTTGTGACCTGGGAGTGTTTTCTTTAGGGGTGAATGACCTGCTTGCAATCCTCCATTTCACCCATATACTTAACAGCCTGGGAGGTCTGATGAAATCTAGGAAAGAATTATATGTACTATGTGTACTATGGCACAGGGCAAAATACAAGAGAGACACTAAAATGATTCAATTCAATCACAAGAACTCTAGTAGAGATGCTTTCACTACTTTATAACTTGTTAACTTATTAAATTGGTTACAACCTATAGTATATACACTACATCAATTACTCAAATACTCAATAATGCCTCCTATCAAGAGGGGACAACAAGGAATATCAATTCTTTTTGGCCATCAAATGCATACACAACAACAAAAAAATATGATCTAAATAATCTTTTTTCACTCTTCCTTAAATCTTGAGTATTTATTGCTCAGACCTGGGTAAGTGATTTTGAGGGGAAAAGATACAAACTGTGTGTATGTATATGCAAATATAAACTTGGTTAGCTATACACACATGAAAGTGTCCCAGCTTATTTATCCTCCTAGTCCTAAATTTTCAGGGAGAGTAAAATCAAGACTGAACAGCTGTATGAAGGGTGGAGCATTCACTATCTTTAAAATTTGTTGATGAATAACCAGTCACAAGTTACTCATTGTACTGGCTAGGATACGGACTAAGGGCATCCAAGATTCCCAACTCCTGACTGAAGAAACATCAAAATGGACTATAAGACTTCCAGAAGCACTGAGGATTTCCTTACTTAAGGGCATGCTATCATAATGCCCATCACTTGCATACATATGCCATATCACACAAGAGTAGAATTTTGTATTTATATAACAAAATTCAGTCAGCAGCAATATCAGAAGAGGCATTGTTCAAAGATATTCCCGGTAAACAAATTTCATTAAGTCACATGATCCAGAAAATATTCCAAGGTCCTGCATTCGTCAATACGTGACCCAGAGTAAAAATTGTCTCAAACTTACTGTGCCTTTCCCAAATTGGTTTTATTTTGCCTTTATTACCATAAGCACCAGACTATTACTAGCAGCAGAGATGCACCAAAGTGGTATTAAATATACATATACATTTAATACATATATTAAATATATATTTTTATATACAGAAGAAATAAATATATATATATATGAACAAGCTATATGGAAGACATACTGTTTTTATGAATATTTTGGAACCACAAATATGCTAACATTTTACAGTTTAAATGTTTCCCAGAGTGCTCCTACACATTATCTGCAAATTCATAACACTACTACTACTACTACTACTACTACTACTACTACTACTACTACTACTACTACTACTACTACTACTTACTACCAAAAAGAAGACTGTGAGACTGAAAGGATTGTCATTACTTTTGATCCTGAAGAAAAATGAAAGTCTCATTTCCAGAAAATGGGTACACAACTTCAGAACAATCTCTACCCAAGTTACTCTACAAACCATGTTGTACCTTATGCAAAAGGTCAACTGTATTCATTTAATTTTTTAGGGCACTGCAAATAAGTTACTTCCAGGAGAAACTGAAATTCCTAGCACAGGTGTCAAACCTGCCCCAGGAAGGGAGGAATTGCAAGTTAGTCAGCCACAGGAGCCTTCAGCCAGCAGGGGGAGAAAAGAGTTGGTAGGAGCAACAGGTGGGGGACATGTTTACGTCTACGGCTAGAAGGAGGAGTTGGCTGCTCTGAAGAGCTTAAAATCAGAGATCAGTCTCCTTGCTTTTCCCACAAGTGAGGTTTCAGATTGCAACAGTGAGGCCAGAAATGGGAACTCGCTTGCTGACGCTGAGATCTGATCAACAATCCCTCCATCAAGAGGGGATTGCCTGGAACAAGTGAAATTGGTAACCTCAAATCTAAAAGGACATTTTAAGTATTGTTGATAACCGGGATGAGGGCTGTTAGTAAGAAATTCAATAATACTAAAATAAAAAGAATGACCCAGTAAATATATATTATTAGCAATACTTTCTTTGGATGGTTCATTTAAAAATGCACAGACTTGATCAGGGTGGCATATTAACAGCTATTTTGAAAACAACATTAGAGTTCAATAATCACAAAATTGTATTAATTTGTGATATTTTGCAATTCGGACCAGACACACACAAACACACATATAAGACAAAAACAGTCAGGAGGGTTTCGGCTGCCCGTGAGGTTGGTTTCTGGACAACTGAAAACAGTTTATCACGTGGGCTCACTTGGAAGATAAGCTGTCCGAAGGTACTTATGTTTCAGAAGTTGTTCCTACTGAATATTAACATGAGAAGGAAATGGAAACTTCGATTACAGCAGATAAAGGAGCCTACTGGTGTTAAGCTGACAAATATGGCTGGGTAACCTGAGATTTTCAGATCTGTGACCTACGTGGGTAGCTAGCCTGACCATATTCACCCCACTGGGATCCAAATAATGCCACACAACTCTACCTTTAAGATATAAATTTTAAAACAGGCTTGGCATACTGCTGAGAAACAGGTAGTGAGTTTTACTGCCGAAACATAGCATTTCATCTTGCAGAGCTTTGTGTTTCTAAAAGCAAAGAGTATAAACACAAGAGAGGGGAGAAGACAATGCTCTAACATTTCCCCCTAGGTTAACATTTGTTTTCTTATGTCAACTTGAACGTGAAAATTTACCTTCCTTGTATTATTACAATAAAACTGCTTACAGACATGTTTGATTTGTCCACCATTGCTTTTTTTGCCCTTCTATATGCCGAAGTATAATTTTATAGGGAGGTGTTTCCATAGGACCAGAACAATATCTGATACTATTTTTAGGGTTAAAAAATTACCTATGATGCAAGGATTTATTTTTGTGAGGGATACGCTTTTTTAAAGGTTATTTTTTTTTAATCATGATAAAAATGTGAAGAACCAGAGTCTCTTGAATACTTGATCAGCTGCCTAAATGCCATGGTTAACTGGGAACTGGTGGAATAAGGAGATGGTGATTGTTTCACAGTGGCTTCTGGAGATAGCACTTGGGGGAATGACATCAGAATACAGCTGCCTGGCAACCTGTGGTCACTTAGCTATTTTCAGGATAGCCACAGAGAGTGGGCATTTGTTACTAGCCCTGTATCCACCCTAGAGATAGGAAAACAAAGCCACAGTTAGTAGCCAACCTTTTTTAGCTATGTCATCAGAGCCCTTCTTTACTCATGCAACCGCAGGGTGATTTGCATTACTGCATTCCATTATTCACACATCGCATGCACTGTAAAGTCCTAATATAACAGAGACAAATCGGCACCATCTCATTGCTGCTAATGCATGTAGCAGCTGTTAAACCTGTGAGACATTACATAGCAAGGAGACCCACTCATTGGGTAGGAGATGTCCTTTATGTTTCCTTGAGTAGAGAAATAATAGAAAAATCCTTTCCTATTTACAGGACCTCTAATGGGGTTTAAATGATACTCATTGATTTCCTTATCTTGCCCTCACTTCACATTCAAACCTTTTCCTTTCAGTTCTTGCAAACCTGTTGTGACTAAATTTCTAGAAGTCATGTGAAGCATTTCTGAATTGCAATAATAAGTCATTCCTTTTTAAAAACCTGCAAACCTCATTTTATTTATAACGATAGCTGCTTGTTTTTCTATTTTTGTTAGTAACTCGTGTAAGTATTATGTGCCCAGACTTGGTTTTGTTTTCCTGAAGGCACTCTGGGGAGCTGGGCGATAGAACAGTGCAGAAGAAGTTACTGAGGATTTTTCTGTGACATTGACTTAGGTTCTACACTTGGATATTTATAGTGTTTTGACCTACACGAATGTGTAGCAAAACATTACAGTTAGGGTATATGACAATTCATTATTATATGGGCCTGTGCTTTGCCTTAACTAAAAGTGCCCCCAACCCCATAGTACAGAAGACCACCTGGCATAGTCCTGCCTCTGTGTGAACTGCTACTCTAGCCTGTGTGAAATGCACTTATTTCTTGCCCTTGTCTGGGGTTATTAGCTTGTTTTTCTATACATTCACCACTGGAAATAGAAGCTAGCTGTTCACTCTGCCTATACTTTTCCAGAGTCCCATCTGTACGCATCACATAGATTCTCTGTGAAAAATGAGCAGATTATGATAGACCCCTCTTAAGATTGGGGGTGGTTATGGTGGGCTTAGGATAAGTACAAGACACGTTGGAAATCTGCATCTTAAACGCTGGCTCCCGTAACTTCAGTCACTCAGCCACCACTTAGAGCGGTCGAAAGCAGCTTGGTTGTGCTTAACAAGCTCGTGCCAGTGCACTATTTGCCAACGTATGGGGTGTCTGCCGCTGATTAGAGCAGGATATTGTAGAATAAAGCAAAACAGAAACAACAGACCGACAAGAGGACTGTCCTCACATGTGCATACAAGTCCCGCCCCATCCCCAGGCTTTTTAGTGAGCATAAAAGACCGTGTTATAGCGTGCAGTTACTAAAGTCTTTCATTCTTTAGCACTCTGACTATACTTCAACTGGAACGAAGAACAGTAACTGAGTCAAATGAAGAGAGATATGATTATTTAGAATGATTCTTAAATCATCCAAGTCAATATAAATAAGAAATATTGAGAAAAGACTTAAAACACTTTAGAAATAAAGATACATTCTTCGTTTCTGGAAAAGGAATTTGGTCTCCAAAGAGCCTAGTTAGACAACTTCAGCTCTTCAAATCCATAGTCAGCATGAGTCAGCAGCTAAAGTGGCTGGTAGAGACTACTGGGTAAGGATCACAAACAAAATACAGAAAGAGAGGAAAAGAGCTACAGTTGTGAGATTTGATAGAGAAAAGGGCATGTTGGAGGACGAGGCAAGAGAAC